CACTTCACTGTAATAAGCAACTCAAATAAGCATAGGCCTAAGAGTTTAACTATAATTAATTAATACATGTATAATTTACAAAAAGTTATAATCAATTGATTCACATTAAAATGTTGCATAATAAAATTCCAATTAAAAAGTAGTTTTAATCACAGAATGAATCAATCTATATACTTATCTTTAATTGTCTTTAATTGATTTAATTGTTCTGTTCCCTTGTGTGTCTGCCTACCATATTACATTTCACCATGTTTCCTGGTGTAACATTTACACTTCTCATTTCATCAGTGTTTTATACACACATGGGCAGTGTGGCACCTTGCATAGCAGCCGTCTGCCATCAGTGTATGAATGTCAAGTCCATATGATAGGCAGAAAAATAAATAAATAGAAAAACAATACAAATTTAAGTCTTTACAATTAATTTTGCAATTTAATTTTAAATTTTAAAAGCAACAGAATAAGGTAACAAAATGACTGGCAATTCTAATAACCTTTGATTATACATTACACTTTTACTCATACTGTATGATTTAAATGCAAATGTAATTCATCTGTTTGATTGAGTTTTTTTAATTGATTATTTTACCAATTCATATAATTCCAAGGCATACACTGTAAATTGTAATTGACCCTTTTTAAGTCCCGCCTCTTTTTGCTCAGTCCTTCAATATCAGGGCAGCAAGCCTTGGTCACCTTTCTCCTTTCCTGTACTTAGATATGTGATGTGCTAGGCTAATCTATGTTGAAAAGATAAAAGAAACCTAACGCAAGACTAGCTAGCTAATCTACATCAATCATTAGCTACATAGTTAGGTGGCTGGTTAGCGTTCGCTGCAGAGTAAAATGCTAGTTAACTAATCTGCATTAATCGTTAGCTAGCTTGTTATCTGATATGTTTGCAAAATTTTTCTAACATAAACTAACGTAACTCAACCCAACCATCTTCAAAATGTGATTTTCAACACAGCATATAGCATATCTAAGTACAGGAAAGGAGAAAGTTGACAGAACATCCGGCCGGGGCTTAGGAAGGGTTAATTATTCAGATGGCACACTCCAGGTTTCAGTGTGGACATGTTGTCTGCTTTTATGTTTGATGTTACTGTTGTTGTAATCCAGTGATTCAGATTTTTGATTAGAAGATTGTTAAAGGCAGACACAATGTAGGAAATCAATGGAAAAACATGTAGAAAACATATTCAGCAATCTAAAACACTCTGCTCTGCCTCAGTTGATTGGCTGTAATGTAAAGAAGGAATCATGTAATTTAATAAATGAGATACACATGCAATAACCTGTCAGTGGTCCAACAGGGAAAAATTTAAATAGACTGATAATATTTGTAAAATTCAGTATAAGGGAACATAGTGAATGTGCTGTTTGTAAATGTTGTCACCTACACTGAAATCAAATGTCTCAGTAACATTGAAGGGAGTTTAGGTCAAAAGTTGCATCACTGTGAGTCAATTATTAAACCAATGCCATCAACAATGCCCTGTATACAAATGCATGATATGGTTTCTGTTAGTTAGCCATGACACAACAGGAGGAGATTCACAAAGCTGCCGGAATGATCAATAATCAATATTCAAAACACAGAGACATGGAGACATCAACAGAAAATAAGGCAGTGATAAAAAAAAAAAAAAAACTCAATTCTCTAACCCCTGTAAACATCCTTTAAAAGACGACTTAACTTTCACGTTGATTATTTCAAACAAAGGATCAAGTTTATTAAAACAAAACAATGTTATAGAAAATATTATATTCCAATAGTTCACGGTCTCTTTCTGTTCAGATTAAAATACATCTAATCGAGTTAATTTACAAAAGATCAGGATCTTCTTATTGTTCATTATATTCATATATTACACGCTACATAAACTAAAGAGGCCTCTGCATATTATTGGTTAAAGTGGGCTTGTGGCGTACTGGAGATTAAACATCACATTTTAAAGCAGCTCCAGTGTTAGTGTAGAGAGCAAACCTGTACAGACACCTTAAGACCAGACAGTGGTATGAAAACAGCTGCTTAGAATTTAAAGATGATAAAACAATTTACCGCAAATGACCCTAAAAACACACAGTCAACTAACTTGAGCTGACTTATTAAATCATTCAAATGTCTTATTTGTCCTAGTGTGACAAAGACACATTTGCTGTCATCACACTGGAAAGTAGGGTTGGATATAGGACTGACTGCATCTGAATTTTAACCAAATTTACTTCACATCTGTAGTGGCGTCTCTCTGTTGGTGATGAGACGATATACAGTATTATTAATGAAAAACTCTCTGCTAAGTTTATCGTGGTGCATTTGTAAAGATTCTAACAAGTGATTTGAAAAAGCTGTCTAGCTCGGCAACATATTGATTATTTATTGATTTGGTTTATGATTTTACTAGCGTTTTGCTAACATTAGCTGATGGAACTAGCTAGCCTACAATTAATGCTTTAGCTAGTTCGATTTACACATCAAATACATTTTTAACAAAGATGGTTTCTGCCATTGTAGGTAGTTCAAGATGTCAGTGGCCATATCCAAGATATTTTAGCGTAATTTTTGTACAGAGGAAGTGGAGATCTTTTATATGTCGATGAGTGAAACACTAGCTAATTAGCTAGCTAGCTAGCTCATTTTGCTAACATTAGCAGATTTAAGATGTGACCACATGTCGCTTTTATCTTTTGACCATCTTCAAAATGTGGTTGTCTTTTCAACATAGATTAGCCAAGCACATAGCATATCCGAGTACAGGAAAGAAGGAAGTTGACTGAGGTTCTTACTGGAGGTTCTGAGGCTTGGTCTGCTATTGGAAGAAGGGGCAGGGCTTAGGAAGGGTCTATTTGTTTTCTGGACATAAGGAGATAATGAAGTCATGATTGCAATTTAACACTTCCGTATCTCGAGACGAGACAAAAAATGTGTTGCAGTGTGTTTCAATTGGAAGCTTTGGTCTTTATACAGTTTCACTAAACCTTTGACATAATACATTAGAATTATCCAATGTATACAGAATAGCTGCAGCTTTATCAGCCTAAAAACCCATGTCAGCCAACCCTAGCAAATATGACTTGTCTCCAACTGAGATTACTATAAAAAGGACTTGCTGATTTCTGTTTTACTATCAACCAGTACTGATGAGTACATTTCTGCTCATCTGCACCAAGCAAAAATGACCCCCCTTCCACCCCCCTAAAAAACCCAACAACATAAAATAAAACATGAAATCATTCAGTCGCTGTCTTTCTTTCTTAAGCATTGTCACTCTCTGGTGAGTCTGTCAGCGAGTCCATTAAAGCAGCATGATTCAAATATATTTTTACTACAATCTTAAAATCCATAGGGAAGTTATATCATATAAATATAATCATAGACGTCATGGGTCATATAGTATGTCGCCTCTGTCAAATTACAAGGAAATAAAACTCTTTTAAACAATCATCTCTTCGGAGTTTGGGGGAGTGGTTGATGTTCCTATTCTTGTCTAATTATAAATCAATTAATTACAATAAAATAACTTAAAATGATAGAATAACTCATGTCTAATGCTAGAGCAATGGCACTGAAGCCCCACCCACTCATGAGGAAAGAACTACCTTTTGATATAAGTAAAGTTTTCTAAAAGAAAAAACTGGAAGTACAAGGAATGGCAGCAATATATCAGCAACAATATAATCTCGTTCCTAAAACTAGGGCAGAAAAGGGGGAGGGGGGCACCAAATAACCAGGATAAACACAACAGAGAGCACGGGCTTCAGAAAGGAGAGGTGATTTGGCAGCCCAACATGTACAACAATTAAAGCAGCCATGGCATAAGATAACACAACATGTAAGGTTATTGTAAGGTTAAGCACTCATGACTCAAGATGAACATTGATGAGATAAGGTCAATCATGAGATAAGATACACATTGACTATATAAAACAACCAGACAGCATGAGGATTATCTTGCTGAGAGGAGAATAGTAGTAATAATAAGCATTTTTTCTTACAGTAAATTTACCTGAGTTAGATACCTGTAGACAGTGGTTAAACAAAAAAAATGACGACCCGACTTAAACCTCAACACTCTGCAGACTTATTGTTTTTTACCCAATGCCCACAGTTTAACCCTCAAGAGGCCATCCTGAATCCTAACTGAACTGTTGGTTTCAAGGGAGCCCAATGAATTCTGTTTCTCAGCCCTGGCTTGTTTGTAATTTGACAGCGTTCATGTAAACCTAAATGAACCACATCCAGTTAAAGGGGTCAGTCTTTCTGGAGAAACATAGTTGATTGCTGAGCCTCATTCCCAGGTCGTCATATACCGTCGCTTTGGGTTAAGGTAAATGGAAACAAACAGGCGGTGTTCTGTTCCCAGGTTATCAAAGCGTGGGTATTTGACGACCTGGAAGTGAGACTAAACAACACGACGCTGTGAATGAGCATTAGCTAGATGCAGAGGATAAAATGAATTTAATTGTGCTATGTCTAACAGTTTAGGTTTTTAGGCAGACGGCATAGTCCAATAGCAAAATAGTGCTAGCTCTGGGCTGGTGCTAGCTCCTGTTCAGAGTTGGTTCAACTTGTGAACCTTGTAAGAACCAGTTTGCTTTTCCATAGGCTAGAGTGGCACACACACTCACACACACACACACCTACGAGAGGCGCAGACTATCACTCGTCAAACCTCGTCTTCGGGTGGACTTGAGTTGGAACGTTCTTGGCCAAAATTAAATATCATACGGTCCCCAATACTCATCACGTGCAGTGAGTACTTTTATACGCCCAAAACTTTTGTTTTTTAGATATATACACGGCTCAGCTAGTATGTACGTGCATATACCCTATACTATACTACATAGGGCATGCTAGTCGGAGATATACGCGCTAGTACATACCGAGCTATACTAGCAGGGCTCACGCCCATCACCTGAGTGCCAGGGCGTATGATAATACGCTCCCAACTATATACGCGTCAGTCATACAAGCTCCGAATCACGCTACATTTTAGGTTCATTTAGTGAATTGCGTGACTGAAAAATCATGGTACTGTATTACATTGATGCTCAACTTTCTCAGACCAGATCTCTGGTGGTCGACTACTTCCTATCACCTTTGATGTATATTATATTGCCTGGCCCACCCTTAATTTAAGGTGTAACAATATACAATTTTAACAGAAAGCCAGCAGCTAATTTCAGTGGCCATGGCATAAAATGATGTTGGTCGAACTCTTTTCTATGACTCAGATGGACTAAAGGTGAAGTCAAGTGAAGACTTTACTGAGCATCAGTAAATGCAGCTGAAGATGTTGTGTTTAAGTACGGGGTCGTAATGCCTTCATGGATTGATTAGTGCATGTAGTGCTGCTGATCACAGGGAAAACACAGCTTTCAGCCTCTACTACCTCCACTTTGCTCTCACACACACACAACACCACACAGAAACACCACACACAACAACCATACACACGACTGACCATCACAATCAGGTGAGATGATGATGATGCTGTTTTAATATTCACTTCTTTGATTCTTCCCTCTCTCCTCGGAAGGTTTCTATCTTTTGAGAAGAAAGAAGGGGTTGACGGGGCGAGACAGTGGTTTACTGAGCAGGTCAGGAGATACAGAGAAGGTAGGGAGGAGGGAGAGCTCTAGACGGCCTCACAGAGGATCTGCTTCAGCACTGTCAGCAGGTGCTTGAGACCATAGATGTAGCCGTGATCGTGGCTCTCGCTCGGGAAAACATGGGCAAAGTCGATCATCCTGACCTCCACCTCTGTGTCTCCTCTGCTCCCCTCCGTTGCGTCACCCCCTTGTCCTTTCAGCTCCTCCTCCTCCTCTCTCCTCCTCCCCCTGCCCTCCCGCTCTCCATCCTCGTCCTTCCCTTCCAGTTGTGATTTGTTTCCGTTTCCATTCGGCGGTTGCTGCGGCTCACCTGTCCGTTTCCACGCAGAGTTGTCTTCTTCACACAGGGCTGAGAGGTTATCTCCAGAAACCGAGCTCACTGTCGTCTCCACAGCATTGCCGTCTTCACTGTTGCCATGGAGAAGACCCTTGGCACAGTGGTGGTGGCCACCTTTTGTGTGGTTGGTGTAAATGGTGGCCAGGCTGTAGTCCCAGGGCACGGACACCTGAATATTGTTGTTGTTGTACTCTGCCACTTCCTCTTCTTGCCCCGCCCCTTCCTGCCTTGCTTTCCCCTCCCCACCACGGCTGCTGTCACTCGGCGATGACAATGTGGCAGTTTTCCCCGTGGTTGGGCCGATTGAAGGGGTGCTAAAAGGGGAAGAAAGGGAAGAGGAAGAGGATGGCAGGCCCTCGTAGACAAAGAGAAGGGAGCTGGCGTAGAAGGTCAGCTGGTGCTGGGACTCAAACCAGCGGAGGATACGCTGCACTCTGCAGATGCTGGCCGACACGGCATCCTTCCTCAGACTAACACCGTTATGGAAGAATTTAGCCAGGCCTGGAGGAGAGGAGAGGAGAGTTTCAAATCACAGTGTCTGATTGACCCTTCATAAGCCCCACCCCTTTTTGCTCCAATAACAGTTGAGCAAGTGAGCACAGAGCAAAATGGGGCGGGGCTTAGGAAAGGTCAATTGGCTGATCCTCCCTCAGCATACATTTGATTAAGCACATAATGACTTGAGAGTTACTCTAAAAGAGTCCTCCTGTGCTTCACTGCCAGTGACTGGTAAGTCACAATGTTCGTAATGCAAACACACACCAACACACACATACCATCTTTAATGGTGTCCTTAACCAGTCCCCTCCCATAGTGCTGGTCGTACGAATCAAACGTGTCACTGCACAGCTTGTACACCTGAAATTTAAGAAAATACATTATGTTAAGAGTGTGTTTGCAGTATTTGTGTTGGACCTTGCCCCTTAAAACACACAATATGCTAATACATACACACGTGTCAGAATTTGCTCATTGCTCAACAAAGACAGCAAATAACTCAGCTCTTATTGTTCCGACCAACCCTCATACATAATATAATTAATAGAATTTACAACACCTCATGCTGAAGAAAAGCCAATGCACATCATTCCTTCTGCTGCCGCTTTATTCTCTGTTATTGTGTTCATCTGTCAAAAGTCACAACTCACAGCACAATGGCAACAGAGGAATGGCTTTGACTGAAATGCTGGCTGTCTCTTTCACACTGATCAAACACTCCATCTAGTGGTCCACAGCGACACTCACACCTTCCTGCTGCCTGCTGAGCCATATCAGGACAGTTACTGACAGTTAGCTGGACCAACACATTTTAGATTTATAATTAAAGAATGTTGATACAATTGTAATTTTACATGAGAACATGCAGATTATTGAGAATGATCTGTGAATGTGAATGTCAGAAAGGGGCAAAGGGCTTATGTGTGTATTTTTCTTCTTGCTGTTCTTTCTCTCCAAAAGAACTCTCTGAACTCTCTGGTCCAACTCTCTGATATGTACTTGAGCAGGATCAGGGGCTTTGTAGTTTTACATGTACAGCAGGAAGGTTTTCTCAGAACTACCCATTATCATCTCTTTATCTTTTCCTTTTAGTTTCTCTCCAACTCTCTCCTCCCTCACTATCATTCCTCCATCAGGAAGATCATTACCACTAATTAGCCTCCTCTTCATCTAAACAAACACACAGCAGAGATTAGTATGGGATTTTTTTCACAGCTCAGTGCCAGGCACATCCTGTTTTAAGCTCCCTGTCCTAAGGTACATCTACTGAGTTCTTTCTAAATTACACGTTCAACACACCTCTGGGCCCCTTTTTACAAACTCATACCGTGCTGGCAACATAATTCAAATCCACAACATTGAAAAACATTAATATCAATTAAATCTACTATAGCCTAAACTTTTAAAGACTACAAATAACTCGATTTTATAATCATCACATTTTTGGAAAACATGAATCAAATTTGAGTCCAAAAAATGTACAGCAGTACATTACATTGTAACTAGTGCTGTGTATTGGCAAGAATCTGACGATACAATACATATCACGATACGGGGGTTACAATTCAATATACTGTGATATCGTAAAGCAGTAAGCAAGATCATATATGTTGATTAGGAAAAAATCTAACTTTAGAAAAACTGCCATGGTATAAAGAACACACACATATGTAGTTATTTATGCAACCAGAAAAGTGTGATCTGTATTTGTATCTATCACAGTCTCTATAACAGCTAACATCATAGCCCTCAGTATTAAAAGATTCATGTAAATTCAGTATACCTTCCTGCAGGAAAATGTTGCAGCCTATAGTACAGTAGCACAGATCAAACACTAAGTTCACCTACACATACGTTAACCTCTACCAATCACTACCAGTCACCGTTCTACAGAGATCACATGAGCAAACATCCACAACCCTTAGTTAGTTTATGACCCGTTTACAAAGGGTGGAGACATGCCGCCATAAAGCTGATGTCCCATCAGTAACAGACAAACACCATCAGGCCTTTCAGGACCAACCATCAATCAATGGGCTATTTCTTCCTGTACACAGAGACTGGCAGTTAGGAGTATATCACTTATTTTCTCAAAACACACATCATGACTGCATAGTTATCAAATTGTCAATCTGAAAATAAAAATGCTAGGTCCATTGGTCCATTTCACAATCAGGTCCATTATAAAGAGCCTTGGTGTTGATTCTTCAGATGCTAATAAGTTGAGGGGTAGTTGCTGATTTCAACTTCCTCGCTTCACCCTTCAACTTAAATCACAAAGTAGAAAGTATGTTGGTTGCAACATGGCAGCCTCCATGGAAGGTGACTTTAATTATGGCACCAAAGTCACATGAGTATCTGAGGTCGAAAGACGGATACATTGCTTTTTTTGAGTAAAGACCTAAACACTGATCATAGGGGTGGAATAAAAATATTTATCACACGTTCTGACAATTGGCCAACTTCAAGTTTATATTTAACCTTTTTTATTTCTTTTAATTTGTTAAGTCCAGTACATTTGATTTATACAGCACAGTATCTCAGTATTTTTTCTTGTTGCTACAGTGTGCTGTAAAAAACACTGATCTCTGACTGGAGGGGGAATATGTATTGTCTTATTATACTGGCAAGCTAGGTTGAAAATGAAAAAAAAAAAATGACAATAACATCAAATGAAACAACATGCTTGTTGCATATAAAAAGTTGGACATTTTAAATGTTAATTCAGCTCATTGGGTGTTTTCTGTTTGTTTCATGCTGTGGGCAGGAAAACCCAAACTAGTACACTTACTGATGATGACAGTGGGCTGTAATGGAAACTGATCAAAGCGATACAAGCTTTTGCTATTTGACTCTCTTCCTTTCCGACAGATAAGAAGTTCTCTATCTCTGTCATCTGTCTGTCTCAGCCATGTGGAAAAACTAATGAGAGACTGTCCTGATGTGTGTTTACTGTTCAGCCTGAGCTCAGGGTTAGGTGTATTCAAACACATGAGAGGGTACTGTTCAGCTTAGTCAACAACCTGAACCCTTTTCACATCCACATGAGTTAAACATTGACATTTTTCCAGTTGTTCGTCGGTATTTCATGTTGATCATCACTGTGTGAATGAAAGGTGTGATCAATTACTTCTGTTATCCTGTTACTAAGGGTGGGGTGTTTGGACAAAAAGTGTACAAGTATCGCATGTACTAACTTGATATCTGTTATTTCCAAAAGTAGTCAGGTTATCAGACATAAGTGATGAATTGTCTCCGTTATGAAGATTTGTCTTCTTTTTAATTTAAATTAAGTTTCCAAGAATATCAGGCTTTGAAATCTCTACTTTGATTTACAACTTTTCAAATGTAGCTTTTCTGTTATTCCTGTCTTGTTTGTAATTATTTTGTAAAGGTACATCAATTAATAAAGTTTGGGAAATAAAACTTCTGTGCAACAAGAGAAAAAAAAAAATCGGATATACATTTTTTCCACGACTGTACAACCGGTCAAACTCACCCTCATGCCGAGGACCAGGAAGCCTATCTCCTCCATCAGTGGGTATTTCTTGATCTGTTGCTCCCGTTTCTCCTGCGAGGCGAACGGATCGTAGCTCCGCTGGCCCAGCTTCACGTCCATGATGCACGGCTTGACAAAGCGCCGGGTCACATCCTCCAGCTTCAGATATAAGTCTGAGGCAGTGGCATAGTATTACTAGCCTGTTTACATGAGGCTGACGTTGGCTTTTCATACAGTCAGTACTGATCATAACATGTTTCTGATGTGATGGAGGTTCTTCCTCGACTTCATGTCTTGTCTGGTTTTTCAACATCAGATGACTGACAAATTGTAAACAGTTTACCAATACTTGCAGTAAAAACCTTATTCATGTCAAATTAATATAATGTGACATTTATAAGAATAAGAAGAATCATTTAGCTGAAATAACAGTAGCTCATAGTATTTGGCTTATAGAGCTGAAATTTCACCAAAAGTGCTGGAGGAATGTGTTTTTTACAAAAGGCAACAGAGTTTATTTTCTGCAATCCAACAATCCAAAGGAAAAATGTATCATTCAATTATTGACATTTTTTTAAAATAAATAACATCAGTATCAGCTTCAAAATCCAGTATCGGCCAGGCTTTAATTACCAGCCTATCATTAATAAAAACTGCCAGTTCACCTAACCTGCATGTATTGTTGGATTTAGATAGAGAGAAAGGGACACACACACACACACCAGTCTCTTACCATTGGGGCTGTCAGGAGAGGACCATGCACCATAGTACTTGGGCAGATGGTTCTGGAGCTCCAAAAGGCATGGATCACAGCAGTCCTCTGCATACACCTAGGACACACATACACACACATCACCACCATCATACTATACTGCGCATATATAGTGACTACCACACTATATATTTAGAGTAGGGGTGCAGCTAAAGATTATTTCCATTATGGTTTAATTTGGTGGGTACTGTTTGGCTTACTCAATTAAAGGTGGGGTATGTGATTTTAGGTATGTGATTCTAGCAAATATCTCAGCAGCAATTTTTGCTTGCAGTTTGCAAACCCACAGCATAGCTAACGTTAGTTACATTACTTGCTGTGTAGTTTGTTTGCACTATATTGAGGTAATTGTTTCAAATCAAATGTTGGAATATACTGAAATATCCACCACCAGTTCCCATCATCCTAGGTGACAGGCAAAGTGCTTGTTTTCTCTGACAAACAGTCCAATACCCAAAATATATTACATTTAGAGTGATTATCTATTTGAATCACTGAACAAAAGACTGTCTGGAACCAGGCTTCATTCTTCTCACATCTGGTTAGTTTTCTGTTGATTGACTAATCAACGAATCAACTTAATATTTAATCACTAATACAGGGTATATGCAGTATTAAAACAATGTAATTATTCTTTTTTCCACTCTGATGATCCAATTCTGATGAACAATTGGATTTTATTAGCGATAATTATTGCATTTTAACAGCAGCCCTATGTTGTTAAATATGTAATATGTGTAATAAAACGTAAAATATTTAACTTACTGATGTTTTGGACCAGCTCAATAATATTTTAGACTACCAGCTGTTTGCAGGTGCCAGCGCAGTGTGAGATGTGTGCGTTGTTGGGATTAGGTTTGATTGGTTTTGTCAAGAGACGCGATGCCATGACTCACTGCTGTTTGTATGAGAGTTGCTGAGTCTGACAGTGCTGCTAAGCTCTAAAGCAAACACTGAAGCAGCAGATACACGCAGGATTACACAGACCTATGTGGAATGTCTGATATTTTATAATGATCATTAAGGATTTATATCCATCCATCCATCAATCAAGTATTGACAGTGTGGTAACTGAAGAACAAGTCATGTGAGTCACAATAGAGGTAAATGCTCATAAAATCATATACAGCTCAGAGTGAGAGAGCTGATCTGATGGAAAAGGGGTCCTCCTGGTCCACATGTCTCTTCCCAATAGTTCCCCTTTGGAGCTACATTTGCAGTGTTTTTGAACAACTCATTTTACCTCTGCTTACCATCTTGAGATAACATTTTAGCTCCTAACTAATAAAACTATTTGCCTACCATCACTATATTGCCTGCCTAAGTAAAGACTCTGTAGCCAAACTCTGTGGCAAATGTCCATACTATTTATTGTTTTGGTAGAGTGGTTTAATTTATGTTTTGTTTATCAAGGAATTTTTTATTTTTTTTCCCCCCACACATCAAGAATTAAAAGTTCATTGCCCTTTAAAAGGGTGAACTTGCATTATTATGCTTATCATTATATCAGTGGCATAAAATGGCAATATTAATATTGTTTAGAGCACTTATTTCTGTGGCACTACATCATCCAAGACAAATAGCTATTGTGACAGGCCTAGTATTAGATTATATTTAAAGTTAATCATTTCATTGGAAAGGACAGATTTGTTTGAAGAGCTGGATTTTTCACACATTTGTATTATTATGATCTGATTTATTCAAGTACAACTGTGTCCCCCTTCTGTATGTAACTGTGTGAGAATAGTAGATTTATGAATGCAGAGGCATTACCATGCTGTAAAACTGCATCTCTCGTGGACCTCTGGGTGGAGGTTGAAGCTGCTTCAGGACTGTTCCATCTGGATGCTGCAAAATACCTACGACCAACACAAAGACAGCACTGAAAACCAAAGCAACGTTTAGCAAAGTTTAGTAAGGATATTGGTGCTTGACTCAGTAAAGAATAATAAGAAACAGCTGACAAAAGGACCCAGTCAGATAACTTCAACCCTTGTTTTAGCATATCAGTGCTGAAGTACAGTAAAATGATGATGAATGACACCGCAATGTTCATCACAGTTCATTCTGAAGTAAATCACTGTAAATGGCAAACATATTCATCTTTTAGCCACGAACAGCTCACTGTGTTCAGTATCTTCAACACTGAGGTTAATGTTAAAGAGTGAATCATAAACTCTGACTTCAGCAAACACACCCACCTTAGTCAGTAGCAATAAAATACAAGTAAAGAGTAAAGAGAGATGACGTGGGAGGACAAAAAAGCACTGGTGGAAAGACATGATAAGACACAAAGAAGAATCTGTCTTGTGCTGCTGAGAGGAAAATAATTAGACAGAGGGAGCAGCAAGAGGGACTTTTCCCTTAGTATAGATAGGACCATAAATCTTTATGAGCCGTCAATGACAAACTCAACTGTCATTACCGTACACATTTACGTTTACAGCGTCTGGCAAACATGAACCTTTGTTCACAAATTCAACCTGATATTGACATCAGACAGGAAAAGGGACATGGAATCTGATACTGTTCGAAAAAAATCTAGGAATCTGTATTTATCATAATATCTCAGAGCAGAAAAAATTGTTCTCACTGATCCAAAATTCTCAGTCACACATTATTTGGTTCTACTTTCAGGACTAGGAGTGGCATTTTATCAATCTTCCTAACTTAGGACAGGATTCCTGTCTCTGCGAACATGTAGGATAGCTCCAGAGCAGCTGTTAACTGTCTGGAGTTGCCAGGTGTTTCAGTGGAATGGATGGATGATGGTGTGTTCTTTTAGGCTCAGGTAAGATGACCAAATACAAACCAGAATGGCCAGTTAGACTATATAGGGCAGGATTTTACAACTCTGGAAAGTTATTAGGCCAGATGACATTGCATTTTGCTGCAGTAAAAGACGAGCAAGGTTCAACAACTCTGTGTTATTTGCTGGATCACTCTGCTATGTGGAATGTCTATTTTATAATAACATAATTATTTTATAATAATATTTTCATAATGCTTTAAACGAGCTCGCTATGGCAGAGGTTGCCATAGCATTACTCAAAAAAACTCCCTGGTAGCCATTACGTGTAAATACCTGTGTTGTGTTTGAATTTTCATGCTGTGTTTAAATGTCTATCCTGTGGTAATGATGTGTCCATATGTTTATGTACAGACTGTGGCAACACATTTCCTGAAAATGACAATAAAGAACCTATCTATACTTCTTAAAGGGAGCTTGGTGCAGGGAGCTTTTAGTTGAATTCAAACTGCTAATATGTAAAATTTGTAACGTTTTGTCACCACTACAGAAAGACTAAGTAACTACTAAAGTATGACAAGGTTGCATCACATTGGCTGCTGTTATTAGTTTGATTAATGCTTTGATAATGTGATGCTGGCTGATTATCCTCAGTTTCTAATTTCAGTATGCTGTAAATGGTTGCCCTTTCTGTAAAGTTTTTCGAGGACTTTCCTAATTAAACATGATGTGCTTGTTATTAATGGTGTTATTAAGGATTCCTGATGAAAAGTAGTTTAGAGACCACAACGACTTCAACAACGATTCCAAGACTGAAAGTTGTGTAGCGTGAACAGTACAAAGATCACAGTACAAAGATAAAGTCATGTAGTGTGACCAAGGCTTTAGTTACAGCTCATGTATCCTTCACTGTTTTGTGTTGTATTAAATTTGGAATGAAGTAAAATTTTGAGTAGGACTCCCAGTCTGTTTCCAGTGTAGACAGAAAGATGCAGCGAGGAAAAGATAAGTGTGCCGTTACGTCATCACATGCTGCTGACGACAGCTGATTCCAGATGGACTGAATGAACCTGCAGTGGAAGGATTAGTCTGCTCTCTGGCTCATTTCTAGATTCTTCTAAGAACACACACCGAAATACTAATCAATATAAAAAAATCACCTGCAGCTTCAGTGCTCCGCCTGTGTCTACACAGGATGCGTTCAGGCACAGTAGGCACAATCACTGTAGTTACGCACTTGAAAACAGAAGAAAATAGTCTTGAAGCATAAAAATATGCATTTAATGGGAATAAAATAGGAGTGTTTTGTGGAAGTTGTGCTACAGTTTGTGAAGCATTAGTGACTTTTATGTTTACATGGTTAACTGATTTTCCAGCTGCTCCAGATGTTTCCTAGCAACCGCTTTACACATCACTAAGTCTTTACTTGTTAAGACAACTCTTAATTATTAATGATGCAACCCAATTTAGCAAATGAGTAGCTTGAAACCATCTAGTAACACATCTAGTAGGTTACAAAAAGGATGTGTGAAGACAAACTATTAGTAAGGAGATCCACTTACGGATTCCAGCATCAATAATAAACTCTGGAGGAACATTAAATTGCCAGTTGATCCTTTTGGAAAAGGTCTGGCAGCGCAGTATGCCTGCAATGGTCAACTAAATAACATGACAG